CAAGAGCCGCTGGGGTGCTGCTGGGTTGGTCCCGCAGCCCCGAGGGGCAGTGCTACGAGACCGACCCGGCAGCACCCCAGCTGCTCTGCTCCCTGCTTCCCCGATTCAGCTGCTGGTCAGTTTCAGCAGCAGCTGAATGGGGGAAGCCTGTCCAGCTGCCCCAGCACTTCTGGGTTCCTGATGGTGCCAGACCATCAGGAGTCTCGGAGCATTAGATGCCGGGCTAATGGAGTTTTACTGTACTTAGGGTTTCTATTGAGACTACCAACCCATTGTACATATTCATTGTACATAGCCTCTCAAGAGCTATCAGATGGTAACAACTTTAGTCCTTTCCCAGCTGGGTTAGTTTGAACCGGAAACCTAAAGGTTCCCTGTTCTTTGCTGTTTCTAATATCTTTAAACATTTTGTTTCTCCCCACATATTTTGAAACATCAGTCAAATCCTTTTGCGGGCTCAGTGCAATAATTAAAAAAAAAAAAGTATGCAGAAATATGCTTTAAAAAATTAGCAGCCTGCAAGTTTACTGGGGAATGCTATTTACCAAAAAGTTTTTCAGGACTGAAGTTAGGTATGAAAAATTTGAGCTCAGCCCTAAAGGTAAGAGTGGGAATAGGTAACTGAGAATATTAGATTACCACAAAATAAATGCTTCCATTTAACTAAAGTCACAGGTGTAATACTAAAGTGTGTCTTTCATCTGGGAACATTCCTTCCAGCCTGGGTAGACAGAGACATACTACCTCTCCTTGAGAGAGTTTTCTAAGAATAGCAGTATTGACTTTGCAGCACAGGTTAGCCATCTGAATTGGGACTGAATTAGGTGGGCCTGTACACTAGCAGCTAATCTGTACCACGGCTCATGCTCTGATGTCTACACCAGTATTTGTAGTGCATTAACTCAAGGAGAGCTAACATGTATCTGTCTACCCAGAGGAGTAGGGGGCACAGTCCCAGCTGCAGTGTACTCTAACGTAATGGTGAAGAAGTTTCCCTTTCCTTCACTTGTCCTCATTTTGGCCTTATTGCACTAACTAGTCTTTAAATTGCCAGACTTGTACCATAATTTTACTGTGTTGAGTTATTAGTGTTTTCCTAATTTGCACTTTTATGTTTTGTAGACTGGAAGAACTGGCTGTGATATGTGCTAATTATGACATTCCTCACATAGTAAACAATGCATATGGAGTTCAGTCTTCAAAATGTATGCATCTCATCCAGCAGGTATGAGGCTTGTATTTCAAATGAGACATTTTTAAATATTAATTATTTTATCCTTTTGAAAATTCAATTATATAGAACTACAAATTGCACAACGGGGGCACATTCTGTCAAATGTCCAGGTAATTTTGAGTGTGTGAGCAAATTCAAAGAACAGGGAGTATTTTTTTTTAAAGAGTTGATTCCCCCTCTATCAAAATTGTTGAGCCAAAGTGAGCAGAATTGGTCTCCAGTAATCTTTACAAGAAAATCCTGTTTGGTCTAAAATAAAGGGTTATTTTGGCTCCCCATTGTTTCTCTTAATTAGGGGCTTAAAGCAACAACTTTCATCAGCTCCTGATTATTCTTCACCCTACAAATTGAGAAACACACAAGTAACATTGAAAACATCTAGAACAATAATTTTTCCACAAATCACTTGGGATTTTTTAATTGGCAAAAAATATGAAATGGACATCCGAGTATAAATGACAAATCAAAAAAGCAGTTAAAACTCTTGTATTTGTCAGCAGCACCTTCAGAAGTGTAGATTGAACAGACTTCTGAGGTCTTCGGATATTTTGGCAACATTCCATTCACTTGAAGTGTGTGGAAATTCTTCATTTTCAACTGGGATGCTGTCAATTAAAATCTTTCTGAGAAATGATTTCCTGGCTGTTACAAATAACTTCTAAAATGGCTACAACTGAAAGAGATTAGAGAAAAATACATCTTTCAGCATGTTTAATTTTGTACATCTGACAGCACTTTCTGTATTTCCCCTTTTCCTATCGATGTCTTAGATATCAATACATAGAGGAAAACATTTTACAATTCCTGGGGATTTTTTATGTGTGTGTTTTTTATTTTGTTTTTTAAAATCATAGGCACAGAGAAGGAATCTTAGTCTGAGTCTAATGCCTGAAACTACTTTTTTTTTAAAAAGTGGGTAATTTCAGGTTGATGGTAACCTTTTAATTAAATTAATTTGTTTAATCTTCACAAGCATATTTTTAATAAGAAGAACAATTAAAGTGAGATTATGGCTGCTATATGCTCCTGAGTGGCTGAAAGCCTTTGGCAAAACACACTTGAGAAATGAGGATGGAAAACCTATGTCTGATTTCCCTGTAGGCCTCATTTTTTCAGGAGTACAGGATCTTTTGAAAAAGGCTTTTCTTTTCGAAAGACCCCCATGCAGACCGCGGTTTCACTTTCAAAATAGTGTTTTTCGAAAAAGATGCCATGGCACGATTATGCAAATGAAGCATGAGAAATTCAAATCCCGGCTTTATTTGCAATTTCGATGTCTAATTTACATCCCTCTTTCGAAAGAGAGATGTAATTTAGAAGTACCCTTACTGAAATCTTGGTAAGGATAGTATTTGAGTATTCTCCCACAATCATCCACTGGGTTTTAATGGGAATTTTTATAGATATAGATTAGATATATATATATAGAGAGAGAGAGAGAGAGAGAGAGAGAGAAGTGTTTTTCTCAAACATACCTACGCCATGAGCATTTTTATATAAAATATAATCCTCAATTGAGACTCAATTTGGTAAACTTCTGAAATATTGTCGGTGACTGACTTTTATGGAGCTACATAGTTAAAATCCATGTTGTACTTTGAAAATGTACCACTGCATGTAAGAACTTCAACTTGGTTCAGTATTTTAATTTGTTGTGAAAGGGGGATTAATAGTAGAGTTACAGATGAATGAACAAGGAGTAAAATGGTTGCATTGCTACAGTTCCTTAGCAAACACTACTAAGAAAAGCAGCTGTAACCATTTTAACTCACATTTTAGCTCTGTTGTGTTCTTGGTGAGTTTTATTAATGAAATTCCCTGTCAACTGCTTTTACACATAACACAACAGAAAGCTGTCAAATATTTGTTCCTAGTGTGTCTGTGTGGGGCAGTTGTATATTTGTTGATTTTTTTTTTTTTTTTTTTTTTTTTTTTAGGGGGCCCGAGTAGGTAGAATAGATGCTTTCATCCAGAGCTTGGACAAAAATTTTATGGTTCCAGTAGGTGGTGCTGTCATTGCTGGCTTTGATGATTCCTTCATCCAGGATATCAGCAAGATGTATCCAGGTAAATAATTCATACATTGATTCATCTTGGTGAAATAACTACAAAGAACTCAAATATCTACTTCTCTTTATTCACTCTCTGTCTCTTACATTTATATGGATTGTGTAAAATAATTCTGTATACCGATCTTCCTTAGATGTCCTCATTACGCTACTGTCCCTGGGAGAAAGTGGCTACAGACAGCTACTAAAAGAGAGAAAGGTAAGCTTTGACACAGAGCGTTTCTTTTTCATTGTAATTACAGTGAAATTACACAGTTCAGCCCAGGAGCATTCATATTTAAGTATACACAGTTTACCTGTTTATCACTGGATCCCAAAGTAGATAATTAATATGAAATCCTTTACTGTATTTCAGGAACCACATACCTCATTGTTTATAAATAGATTTGACTACTACAGTAGAACTCCGATGGTCCAGCATCTGATGGTCCGGCACCATTAGGAACCCGGAAGTGCTCCGGGCAGCCGGACCAACTGACCAACGGCTGAATCGGGGAAGCCGGGGGCAGAGCAGCTGGAGTGCTGCTGGGTAGGTTCTGTAATTTAGTTGGAGGATCCTATCTCTTGATTATGGAAAAGAGCATCTGGATAGCTTTCTTCTTTTGAATGGTAGTTGCCATGGGGAATGCACATAGGGCAGTGATGGTTATTGTTATTCTTGGGACAATTTAACTACCCTGATTCTAAGTTTCCAGCACTCAGGCTTTCTGGATGAAAATATATCATGTAAATATACAAATTATATTGTTGTTCTTTCAGTCCTTTGACAGGAAGTACTAGGTGCTGTACAATTATACTTATTAGCACAATATTTAACTAAACACAATCAGTTTCAAAAAGGCTCTTTTCCCCAATAGAAAGCAAGACAAAGGCTGAAAGCTCTTGAGGATATTTTAGATTCATTTGTACCTTGGGGAGGATTTAACTACATTTTTAATTATTTAAATGATTATACATTAATGTTACATCTCCTCTTACCTCTTTTGATAGTTTTGAATTACAGTAAACTTCTGATAATCTGGCACGTTTAGGACCCAGGGGGTGCCAGATTATCAGATGAGCCGGACTATCGGAAGGGGGGGCTCTGAGGGGTCTGGGGTGGCAATCTGTGTCTGTGGTATTAGGAGGTGTCCAACATCATCCTTTATGACCAGGGTACCTCCATCCCATCCGGGCACTGAGACTGGTTTGAGGCCCGGCACGATGAGAGAGCTACCCAGCACCATGTTTGAAATGCAGCATGGTACCACATCCAGTGGGCAACCCAATATCACAAACAGCACCTACCTTTGTGATATGGATGCCTTGCAGGAACTCAAGGGGCAGGAGGACCTAGAACCGATTGGGGCATCATCTTTCTATTTTCCTGATGAGTCTGTGGCAGGTTCATGTAACTCATTACCTTTTATGGATAATAGAGTGCACCAGGTCCGGCTTAGGAGGGTGGCTCACAATTTGGGCCTATATGCAGAGGCAGTCGTTGAAGATCTTGACCCCATGGTTTACATTCTTGCCCCAGAGAACCCTTTTAGGATAGCTTTTTTTCATTTATCTGGACAATTTTAGTATGGCAAAATGTCTGTGGCAGACCCCAGCCTCCACTGCTCACACTGCAAAGAGGTGTGGAGAAGAAATATTTTGTTACCTCTAAGGGACACGAGGATTTTTACACACACCAACAACCCAGTACTCTTGTGGTGGATGCAACAAATGTGAGAGAAAGGTAGAGGCAAATGCCCAAGTCAAAAAATGCGCGCGAAAAACCCCCACCACCAATCCCTCTCCCCTCCCCCCCTGAATCTCTTTAGTCAAAAGATCAGTTTATCGTGGGGTCTCCAGTTGAGAATTTCCAATCAACAGGTGGTCCTTAGCTGAAACAATTTTAATTCCTGGGCTTCTCTGGGAAGCTTTAAAGAGCTCTTGCCAACTGACTCTTGCTCAGAATTTACAACAATTCTGGACGAGGGTAAGGTTATATCAAGGATCTCCTTGCACAATGTCTGTGGGTATTGTGATATGCAAAAGCTTCTGGCTACAGGTCTCCAGGCTTTTATCTGAAGTCTAATGAACTGTCCAAGCAGCACTGTTTTTCCACTCTAATAGTCTTATCAGCGGACATGGCCCTCCCTTTACCTCTTTCCAAATTTGCTCACACAGGATCACAATTGCCTTCAGCATCCCAACTTGGAGTCACTCCATCTCATAGCTGGTATGCAGTGCAGTGGTGGGGTTGGGGGGCAGGTGGATCCGGTGCTCCTGGAGAGCCGACTTTAAACCAACTCTTCATGAGCACCAGCTCTCACTCCCGCTCCCCACCCCTTGCCGTGGGAATGCGGGTAGTCAACAAGATTAAATGATAAGCCTAGGCTTATTGGTTAATCATGTAGTTTTCTTACACAATGACATCTCTGGCATTAGGACCTGTTATGATCTTGCCAAGATCCCAGCTCCTCTGCTGACTGCCCACTCTGCTTGGGCGCAAGCACTTTCCATCTCATTCTGACCCATGTATTGATCCAGGATATTTGCAGCATGGCAAGTTGGTCCTCTGTTCATACGTTTATCTCTCACTAAGCTATCCTTTTGCATGCCAGAGATGATGCCGCTTTTGAAAGAGCAGTGCTTTAGTCAGCAACTCTGACTCCTGCACCAGATAACTGCTTGGCTGTCACCTGCTTGAAATGAACAGGAGCAATCATTTGAAGAAAAACAAGAAACGATTACCTTATGTCTGTTCCAAGACCCACCCGCCTCTCCTGTGTCAGAGTCTTTGGGCAAGAAGGAACTGGCGGGGCGGGGGAGCGGGGAGAGAGTGTCAGCAGTGATCTATGTACAGAGTCATAGCAGCGTCACTCCAGGGGACTCCACAGCCAGCCAACAGGTACTGATAGGGGAAGAAACTTCTGACCACTATGCCTGCGGCACATGCATACGTACTTGGTTTGGCCATGAGCAACACATCTCAGAGAACAATTGAAGGAAGGTAATCATTTCTTTGAGGATCCCTCCATCGCTTAGACATGAGCTAGATTCCAGACATAAGATTTAGACACATTTTAGGTACCAAGGGGACTTGAGGTACAATGGGAACCTTATTGTTAGGAATTTAGATGACAGTTTAGGAATTCTGACAAACTAAATTGTGGATGTAAAACCTAAAGACATAGATATCTAAATTATTTTCTGGATCTACGCCCTTTTGTGTGCAAGTTATATAAGTAATGACATTATTTTCCTGGAACTAGGCTTCTAAAGTGAATAAAACATTAGATATTTACAACTTGATTCAGTAGGCAGGTCTTTTTATTCAAAATGTGGCTATATGCTATAAACATACTTTATGTGTGGTGTAAATATTTTTTTTATTGGATTTGTGGTGGAAATAAGAACCCTTTTTGTTTAAATGTGCTTGTTCCTGAACTGTATAACTCTAACAGCGATAGTTTATTGTCTGTGCTCTGCAGAGGCAGAGCTATTATACTCTCTGTAGGAGCTATTTATAGCTTGACATTGAATACTTCTTTCTATATTGGTGCTGCCTACATCTACTCAAAAAAGAAGTGAGGCTATAAAAAAAAAGTCAAAGTTTTTTTTTTTTTTTTTTCTTTTCTTGCCTTATCCGTATTCATCTAAAATGTTGCTTCAGGTTATTTGATCTCAGCTTAAAACAAAGAACCCGTATTTTTAAATGAGGGAGGATAATCTTTTGCAGTAGAAAGAAGCAAGAGCTAGACTGCTCAGTTTCTGCCTTTCACTGGAGAGACCCATCTCAAAAGGTACATGGGTACCTGGTTGCAGAGAAAAGAGTATGCATGGAATAGGCAGGCCCAGAGGTTCAGGGCAATATCGAGGGAGTAGTTGTGTTACCAGGGATAAAGCAGTGAGGGTATATTTGCAGTACAACTGAAAACCTATTGTGGCCTGTGCCAGCTGATTCACAGAGCTCAGGCTAAGGGGCTGTTTAATTGCCTTGTAGCTATTCTGTCAGTCTGACACCTGAGCAATAGGATGTCACAGCATGGCAGGGTCCCAGAGCTGAGGCTGCAGCCTGAGTCCAAACATCTACACCACAGCTAAATAGCTCCTTAGCTCGCTTGAGCCCTTTAGCCTGAGTCAGCTGTCACAGGCCAGTTGCCAATGTCTAATTGCAGTATAAATTTACTCTAAGGGTGCACATATCTAGAACTACAAGACTACCTGGCATTGCCCAAGTCAGCTTTAAATTTTGATAAGAGGAAGCTGCATATGAAATTTGGTAGTCCTAGCTCTTACCATGTAGGAGTTGTTCTTGAACAAATGGACTCTCAGATGGGCACACAGAGAAAGATGCAAGTTTTCTACAATATATAGCAGAAGATGCAAGTGGCTGAGGTTGGTAGAAGATGAACATGAGTGTTTGATGTATCTTTAAGAGACAAAGGTAGTGGATGTGTCTGGGAGGGAAAAACTGGTCACAGACACCTTTGCCATTATTTTGCTGTCTCTAAAGAAGGAATGAAAACAGTTTTTCCCCTCTTCTAATACTGTCACCTCCATCATCACACTTAACACCTAATGGCAAATGTTGCCTCGTGCATTTTATATTGATTGGCCCAAGTATGGGCACTTGATATGTGTTTACAGCCTGTCCAGCCCCCCAGCCATGAGGATGGAGTGCCAATGCTGGCTTCTTGCTACAGGTGGGATGGGGGAGGGACAAGACTTGTAGGCTGGATCTGGCTTGCAGGTGGAGACAAGACAGGAAATTGCTCACCTGAAGGCTTTCCTCACTGCTCCCATTGGCCATGATTCTGGCTAGTGGAAGTGGAGTTAGGGGGTGCTGGAGTGGCAGGAGACACAGAGCCAGGTAAGTGCCCCTCTCATGTTCAGACCCTGCACACCCATTACCCTCACGTACCCCACTCCAGCCAAGACTCTGCCTACTACTGTACTGTACAAGACCTTCTACTGTACTGCTGCACCCTCCCTGCCTCCCAAACCCCCCACCCTCAGCCAACTGCTGCACCCTACCTCCTCGCCAGACCCCAAACCCCCACCCCTCCTATACCCATTTTGTCATCATGGGTGGTTGGCTGGCTGTCCATGGAAAGGTCTGTGTTGAGTGGGGTGGCCTGCGGGCCCAAAAGTTTGAGAACTACTGTCTTAGGATGAGATTTTTATACAGTCCCAACTTCATTATGCCAGGTAAAAAGGACAGAA